AGGTCTCCTCGCTAGTGTCGAATCAATAAGGCTTTGCAGGTGCCGCTTATGGATCGAAATGCAGTTGACGCACTATTGCTGGAGTGCAGCTGAGCACTGATTGATGCCCTCAAAATACTTGCTTATTCTACCAACTCGCAAAGCGGAGCACTGAGGACTCGTAAACGATGCCCATTTAGGCGAAGATAAGAGTTATAATCCGAGGAGAAATATATAATTTGAAGAGCTCTACTGGCTGTTTAACGTCTTAAACAACCTCCCATTGTACGAAATCGTAATCGAAATGTTACAGGATGGTCGGGCTATGTTTATTCATCCTGACATTTCGCATTGTTGAACTTGCTGTCTATTTTCGCAAACTAGGAACGCAGAACTAGTCTTTTGTAGAACAGTTAAAGTATACTATAGTACTTGCTGGGCAATCTTTGCGTCGCCCTAAGGTTTATCATCGGGACTGTTATGACCCGGCCTCGTCCTTAGAATTCGCGTGGAGCGTATGCGCACCCGACTCTTATCCCCAATACCAACGCGGCAGAGAAGGAGAACGAGACCGGTCACGAAAAAGTGTATTAGGAAACTGCAAGTCAAGTCAAGCTTGAGAATACGCTCGTGGCCTCCATTGATTGGCTGGCTCTTGTTTTTGGGAGTATAGATACTCCCAACAGGGACCTCACTAGCCCCGTAACTGTTGCTGTATCTACAGTAGTGGTCTGACCGCGATGATCTCAGTCGCTTCAGTCTTGGGCGGCCGCACGTGCGGGAGTGGCCGCCTAGGCAGTTCCGCAGCTGTCACGTGTCGACGACTGTTCTTGATTTTATTGCTGATGCTTGCGCTTCCCAAATTCGTTCGCTGAGGCTTGGCTGTTTGAGTCCGTCTACACGACAGATTAAATGCCGAGACCAGCCATTTTCAGAAGTTGCTGAAGAATTTTGGTGGCCTTGAAGTGTCTAACTCAGGAATTCGATCGATGCTTGACAAAACCCTATAGGCGTGCTACTGATCAAGCGACCTAGACGCAAAAAGACGGAAGTTCCACAGCCACAGAGGGCGAATTTCATCCGCCTCGCATTCACAACTGCTAGCCACGACGAGGGGCGAAGGGTTGATTTCCACACGCTAAAACGGGATATGCGTAAGCAAGCCACCACCCTTCTCTCAGGTCATTCGCAAATCACATTTTCTGTCCACGTAGGTAGGCAGTTTGGTTGGCACGTCGATGCATGGCATTCTGACTGTCAACACTTTGGTGAACACTTATGCAAGCAGCGTGGCCCCCATTAATTAATCACCACTGTAGGCTGTTTGTACTAATAGTAGATTTGCCGTCATCAAAACACGAAAGGAGTGCGGAACGCAGTCGGCTTGAGCATCCAATTCACAAGTGGTATGGAAACAAACGACTTGAATACTCTGACATCCACGTGTACCCTTGTGCAATTGGGGAACCACGAAATGTGGGGTTCACAAACTCCTCCAGCAGTGCACCAGCCAACAAAGTGACTGAACACCTCGACTTCCTAGACCCTTCAGGGAAGACGGGCGCTTAAGGAATGCTGCCCGGCAAGGCAGTCCGAGACCGATAGCCAAAAAACTGCGAGCCAACAGTTGAAAGTGGTCGTGGCTGTCCTTCGATGGCTACGGCCCCTCAGGGTAGGACGGTGAGACGCAACCTACGGCCTGACTGTTGTCTGATTAATTACAGACAGCCGAGTATTGCAGCCTAATGCTGAGATCATAACTTTATTAACCCGATATCTACGATTATAATTGGAACCCCACCCGAAAACGTATGAATATTGGGAGATAAACAGGTCCACGTGCCACATTTTTCCCCACAGCGGCTGCTTACAAAGCCTTACGTAATAATGACTGCAACCACATCGGCGAAACAGGCGAACGTTGCAGATACGACTGCACAAAAGGATGCCGGAGGCTGGATCTCAATTCGGTTTCCGAGAAGCGACCATTGAAGGCGTAGACCGTGGTTACACCTCCACCGGGAATGGAAAGGGGACTAAGATGTCAATTCTGCCCTCCAGCGCATCGATCTCCCGCGATCTTACCAGTTCTTAATCCATTTTCTCCACGGTAGGCATAAAGATATCAAAGATGGATTCGAACGGGGGCGACTTGAAAATCGACTTATCCGACAAGCTAACTCGTTACCCAGCAGGTTTAACTACACTCCATTGACGTGACTATTAACCATACACGACGACCACCGACATTTCGACCGTCGCCTCCGACGATGTCCACCGTGTGCTCGGCAGCAAGATTAAGCGGGCACGATGATTTGTGCGTGAATTAATTTGTAGGGAATGTAGGCTTGCGCAGCGTCTATCGCACTCTCTACTTCTCCCCCACTCGGGCTTAAAGACAAGACGGGGTCAAGAAGAGGCGGAGGAGCGCGCAGATGGATGGCACGGTCGAGCTCGCACCTTGGCGATCCACTCCACACCTCCTGGTCCACACAGCAAATGACCAGAAATTTAACCAACAGCAACAGTGGGGAGGACGGCAGGGGTCGCATGTGCGCGACGTTTGCCGGCAACTGGGTCTGCCGCCACACCCCGAAATTTTGGCATTTGTTATGATGTGCATTCCGAAATCGCCTGCCAGAATTCGATATGGCCCTAGTGCTGGTCCAGCGCGTCTACCACGTGGCCCGTATAAAGGTAACCACTACCGCTGTCGCGTACGTCAGGCAACCCCAAGCAGTCCCTGAGTGGAAACAAGAAAATCGGTTGGGAACAGTTCCGGCCAAATCCAACAGGCTTTTTTCAGTCGGTTTGTCTGTATCAGCAGACTCAGTTAGAAACCAGATTGCTGACATGCTTCATCCAGTGGTATATTTTTTCTTCCTTTTCACAGTCGACTCACACGAGACACGATCAACTGCCTCATGCATTTTATGGCTGGGGCAAGATCTTTGTCTTTTGTGAAATTAAACTTGAACCTTGTTCCGGTCCTCCTGATTGCGATATATATCATGGTATCTGGTCTCATCTCCGTGACTTTCGCATAAGTCCCGAAATGGAAAAGGAATGGGACGTAGGGAGATTTAGTCTGAGTTTTGAAATTCTTTCTTATTTCTAACCCACCACTGTCACTTTTTGACTATCGCGACCTCTTAGCTGTCATGTCCTTAGAGGTTAACGACTGACAAGATACTACGTTAGTGAGGCTGTTATGACTTTTACTTCAGTTCTGCTGGACAAGATTATTTGAGTATAGATCTGGTCTGCTGGGAAAAACATAATAGCATGTGTGTAACATGCATAACTTGAAAAAAGATTCCTCGTCAGCCAACTGTGCCCAAGCTCTTTCCCAGTCAGTTGGTCACCTCCTTGCTACTTGAACACAGTGGAGGATGAGGAACAAGAGCAGTCGAGACAGAACACTCGCACTCTACTCCGACTCACTCATTCTTCAGGCAGCTGTGATCTCTGTCAAGCACGACAGAGGCATTTTCTGGACGTTATTTTGGATTCGTTATTTTACAATTCAGGTCCAAAGGTACCGTACTTTGATGTTAATTGACTAACCTCCTTCCTTCATTGTCATGTGTTTACGTATTTTGGATAGAGCATCTGGTAAGACCGGGAAATCAGACATACTGTTTTAATATGATGCTGACGTGTTCTACGTCTGTGCTTGGGCAAAGGGTACGAGTCATACAGATGTTAGAAGTTAGTGCCACAAGTTTTCCTTACTATGCCGTAGTGGGATTGACACTATCCTGCCTGCCAGCGTGGCACCTCATACCCAAATAGTTGATTGTCGCAAACTGTACAGCACTCATATATACATGCACCCGGTCTGTTTCCACCTCCCCCCCCCCCGAGGTGCACGTCCGTCACTTTGTTCGGTCTACATTTGTATTATATGTATACAGCCTTGGCGAAGCAGTCCCCGAAACATTCTCCGTCTCTAAAGAAACGCATTGTTTGTCAAATTAATGCAGAAACGGTTTTGACGGGCGATTTCGAGCGCACTCTAGACTCCGTGGATCATGTGTATTACGTGAACAAGGGGGCCCTCGACTCTAGTCTGTTATACATCAAATCAAAAAGCTGATGCAAATGAGTATTCGATGTTGCATTTGCTATTTTGTGATACTTTTCTTAGCCGAGGACAGGGTTAACTGAGAAGCAAAGTCGACGCTGACTTTTCTTCCCCACTAAAGTTAACACCTACGCGAACACATTGTGATTGTCAGGATTGGTCAGCTAACTGCAAACTCGGAGCTCATGAATCCGCTTAGTTTCACCTTTACGCATGTACCGGCCACAGATGAGAACAAATTCTCAGTTGCCAATCGCTTAAGGATAAAGGCAACTTCTCCAACCTTGTCTTCCTGACTTCTGACTTGAGAATGGGATGTCTTAGCGTGCTTGAGTAATCTCTACTCTCAGATGCCTTGTGTTTCAAAATATCAAAATCCAACGAATAAATGTCCGTCTCTACTACATCTAAGAAGTACTTCGATACAACCGGTCAACAAGGGAAACTACGATCCAAACAAGGGGTTTGGCGCGCAGGTTAACTTTATCCTGCCTACTACCGTGCATAATGTCCCCTGGGTACACAGTAAAGCTATTAGCATGGATACCTTCAGTTTCCTGCTGCTTATTTCACGTCCCGTCTGCTGCCTGTGGTCGAGATAGTGTTTGTCGACATCCGTGCCTGGTGTAACATACCAAGACGTCTCGCTAAGCTTGGTCAAATGGACGAATAACTGAATTATTTGAACCTCTCCTTTGCCTAAGTTTCTGCTGGGCTAGTTCGACCGAGAAACGGTCTTTCGTGGCTAGCCCTCTTTTCAGCCTCCTTAGTGATCTGTCTATCATGTTTTGTTTAAACACCTGTAGATGCCATACGCAACAATGAGCAGTATCTTGGCTGCCATTCAGAAGTGATTCGGCAAACAACGCTTGAATGGTTCCACGGAAACTGAGATCGATACAACGGGCGAGTAAAACGGCGACGCACTGCCGATATGGTACAGAATTTTCTACCAAGTAATAACAACGCATTTAATTAGGCTCCCCTGGATTGTTCAGCGACCAGTCGTGACTTCTCGCTATCAATATCGGAAGACACAGTGAGTAACTTAAGATTTCGGATATAGCCTGCTATCCTGTAATTTTTTAATAAAACTTTCACTTACCTATAATTAATAGTAATATTAATTAATATTAGTTAATCCACTACCATGCATATATTTCTCATGCGTGCATATATATGGGATATATATCCCATGCATACATATATGCCATACGCAACAATGAGCAGTATCCTGGCTGCCATTCAGAAGTGATTCGGCAAACAACGATTGAATGGTTCCACGGAAACCGAGATCGATACAACGGGCGAGCAAAACGGCGACGCACTGCCCATATGGTACATAATTTTCTACCAAGTAATTACAACGCATTTAATTAGGCTCCCTGGATTGTTCAGCGACCAGCCGTGACTGTATATCAGAAAAAGTTACCCGGTAAATAAAAGTATTTCTAACAACAAATAAACTATTTAAATTGCCGTTATAGAATCTCTAATTGTGTGATATATATCACACATTAGAGTTTGCTGTTATAACAGCAAATTAAATATTTAAATTACGGTTAGAAACTCTAATGTGTGAAAATCTTATTGTGTGATATATCACACAATTAGAGATTCTAACGGCAATTTAAATATTTTATTTGCTGTTAGAAATACTTTTATTTACCGGGTAACTTTTTTCTGATATACTTTCTTATACATTAATACTGATATAAATTTATATCGATAGTTTAAAATACCGATATAAATTTATATCAGTATTAATCATGTAATTCTGACATAGAAGGCGAGAATTCTCATATTTTATGTCAGAATTACATGATAAATTATTTTAAAGGGGACTGAAACAATTGTTATTAAATTAAATTAATAACCATAACCAACTGCCTTATTATTCCTTTAGTCCCCTTTTAATGTATTTATCATGTATTTTCGACATGATAAATATTCCAATAATTTTTTCATTCCTTAAGTTAAAGTTCTGAGTGCAAATTAAGTTATACGCCGCGCATGTCATTTACTAAAACAAAATATTACGAAAAGTGATAATGAAATGAATTATTAATATATTTTTGTAGCTGGGTTTCTTTTCTTACATGAACCTGCCGTGGATGAGGATTTCCGTCAACAGTACACTGGTGATTAGTTGACAGAACAATGCGGATCTGTATCTCATATGCCCCATGTACATCCTCCTCAACCCCCTTTTTATTTTATATGTTCAATAAACTTCCACATGCACATTCTTACTGTTCATTGCTTTTGTTTGTGTATACCTCGGGACACGTTTGATTTGTCGGCGTAAACACTATAGTAAATCAGGGTGGGCAACATTTAGTACACGCAAATGGTATGGGTGACCCGCGTTGCAATGTGGAATAGTATAACCTACTGTGCGGAGAATTAGGTAATGGAAAACACCGGCAACGTAAAAGTGTAGTTTATATCACGGAGGGGGTGTCGTCCCCCTTGGCATTTTTTTTCGAGGACGGAGCTAGACGGGTCTCTCCCGTCCACAGCCCCGTCAAAGCCCCGCCCAAACGGCGCTCTGGCCCCGGGGCATGACGGGGCCAGACGGGGATGGTGCTATCAAGGTCGCATGAGATCTCGAATTCATCTCTGCAGAGGAGTGAAAGGAGAGAAACCCTTTTCATACATCAGCATAAGTGCAGAAGTTAATATGGTGGAAAGGCTTCCAGCTACACCTGCTATGCGGCGGGCGATGTAGAGACGATAGACTAAACAGTTAGACTAGTAACCACAAGCCAAAGAAGCTATTTATCCCAGAGGTGACCAAACATGTCGTCCGAAGGAATTTAAAGTGGTAATATTCTAACTCATCTTGTAACTTGTAGTTAAGGGTCGATTTGCTACCTAGCAAAAAACTCGAGAACCGATTTTCATCGGTCCTTGCTCTCGGGAACACAAATCAGTGGAATTTACTCTTGCATTCGAATGAACCTACACTGGGGTCCTTAAACGCAACACTGACAAGATTCGCACTGGGTAGCTCACTGTATATTAATTATCGGCCATGTGCTTTTTCCCTTTGGCTGGCCGAATCTCGGCTCGAACATTGACGGCTAATGAACATATTCTATGATTCCTTGTGTACGGTGGGAATTAACCTACTAGGCTTCCGATCGTCCACCAATTGTACAGTATCTGTAAATGGAAAAATTATTGAAGATGTTAAATTATGGGGGCCTAGTTAGTAGTTGACCTCGCCCACTTAAAATATGGTCGGAAAATTCGCACATATATCCAATGCCGGGGGCTATGGTTTACTGATGCTGGCACTCCGCTTCCAAACTTCCCAATTATGAGACTTTTATGCAGGACATAATGAACATAAAGGCCATGGGTTAATCTATCATGAACACCGTCTTTTTACGTGTTAATTATTAGTCCGACTGATGGTATAAAGATGGAGATTTGACATGTTTAAAATAGGACCAAGTTTGAAGTGTTATGTAATTTGTTCCGTTTTCAAGAATAGGCATCTATTTAATATTCCAATAGAGCCTGATTTAGCAGTTTAGTGGTGCAGGTATTTAAGAGTTGATCGAGTCATGACTCTATTGACTAGTTAGATAGCAATAGTAATGATCTCTCCTAGCCTACTCAACATTTAGTTTCTGACCATCAGAAGTAAGGAATCAGAAATACACTGTGAGACTGAACAGTAGAGCGAGAGATATTACCGAGTTCCACAACAGCGAGGACATCCGTAAACGGAAGCGCTGCAAGCGAGACAAGGAGTAGGTCATGTTCGAGCGATTAAGCGACAGACTGGCAAATACGTACCAAGCGCATCCACCAAATCACAAGTCGTTTTTTCTTCATTATATAGCCATTGAATTACGGATGGAGTGTTGGTGAGAATTGGAAACTCCACATTCAGTTCACTGCTCCCCCAACTAAGTCAACTCCTTCACCACGACTTGGAAATGATTCTTGGAATATATCGGCAATTAAAATCTTTTACCAAACAGTAATACTAGGTCAAATAATAATCTGACAATCATATCATATTTTCCGCTTGATAGGTTTTGCGAGGAACCCTCACTAAAAAAACGGGTTTAGGCGCGTGGTCCGAGGATAAATTCGTGGGTAAACTCGAGTGCTATAAATATATTTTTTTGAAAACAGGCATAACAAAAATATTAATTCAACAGAAATCAGTTCCTTGGGAAAAATAAGATTGGCGTAGCTTTCTCACCTGTAGCGATGCAACCATTCTTCGTGATGTCATGTCCAATGTTTCCAAAGACATCCTAGAGTTTGTGCCGCGTAGATATAGTAAGTCTAATTCTGTGGATTCCCTTGTTCCTTATTGTCTTCGTAACAGACTAAAACGTTGCGACGGTAGGTGCGTGACCTATCCACTAGTTCTTTATCTATTCACCTTAGAATTACACAAATTTTCGAAATGGCTTAAAGGATGCGCCAAGCGCGCGACAGGCGAAGAGAATCACTTGCTCTCAATGACCCGAACCCTGGCAAATCCGTCCTTAATATCTTTCAGCATCAGCCCTCCTCTAAGAAAATCTTCCTCATTGATGACACTGACAAGGCGGAGTTGCTTAGTACCTTCTTTGCAAAACACCTTGTTACTGAGTAAGAACCAGTCTCTCTGTTTCGTCGCCATCATATAGGACATTGAGTGCAATTGATGTCTCCTCACATCTAATTAAAAGAACATAAGTCATTCGAAAAACCCACACTGCCTAAGAACGGATGGGATTTCAAATTCGATTGAAAAACAGGCATCCGACCTTGCCATATTGTTTAGTCATTTATTCTCGGTTTATAAGTGTCCAAAATGTTTCTTTCCTGAAACATGGAAGACGTCAATAATCAAGTCTATCTTCAAGTCTGGATCTCGGTCAGATGTTAATAACTATCGGGGAGCTCACAAAAGACCGGCTCTAGCAAAGCTTCCTGAAAGGATAATTTTTAATGAAATTCTTGACTTCTATCTAGCTAATCGGCTTCTGAGCTCTAGTCAGCATGCATTTCTGTCTGAACGATCTTGCAAAATTTGCCGCTTGGAATTTCTCAGTCTAATCACTTCTCTTCGTAATGAGTAGCAGTCAGTGGTAGTTATCAGCTTTGGTCTTAGCAAAGCCTTTGGCAAGGTGTCCCATTGACTTCTTTTGGTAAAATTGGAAGCAGTCGGCATCCGGCCTCCTCTACTTGACTTCATTGAGTCCTCTCTATCCAACCGGTATCAGAAAGTCATGGTCGGTAATAGCTACTCGACACCTCACTCAATACCGAGTAACATACTTCAAGACACGGTTCTGGGTCCGCCACTCTTCCTTCTTTACATCATTGACATTGTGATTGAACTCAGAAATTCGCAAACTTATATTTATGCCGACGAACTTAATGCACTAAGAATACAACTTTTCATAATGTACGCTTTTGTCTCCTAGATTATTGTTCAATTTTCTTCGGCATAATGCCCTCAGACGGCCGAAAAGAACTAAAAGACATTCAGAGGCGTTTTACTAGACTTTCATCCAGAAGTGATGGCACCCAGGGTTCATACTTAGAATTATATCATAAAGACGGTCTTTGATCTCTTTGGATCAGAAGACTCCAGAATGGTCTATACTTCCTATTCAAGGTTACCAATAACCGAGATATTTTCAAAACGAATCTATTAGCAAACCGACCCCCACCCTCCCCAGAAACAGCAGAAATAACGAACATATTATAGGGATCCCCAGATTCACAAAGTCCCAACGGTCAAAATTCTACCCCATAAGATATGCCACTATCTGGAATGCTCTTCGAAATTCTATGCGAAAAAGTCAAGCCATAATGAAGTTAAAGATGAAAACTACGAAATTCCTTTCAAATCACAATACACATATATTTTTGAATAAGATAGGTCATCAAAAGAAGAGGAGGCGTTCACCGGGAGAGGTTTATTTGAGGTCTGACGTTTCGGGTAGTCGTTTCTTCTACCCATCTTCAGAGACTGAGCAGTCGTGCACACAGCTTTCCTTTTATGGCGCACTTTGTCCAATGCCTGGCCCATCAATGCCGCCTGTGTGGCTGCATCCGACCCGCATGTCATCGTGACCTGAATCCCGCCCATCTTCGTCGGCCGCGGTGATAATTGGCGGCCCCGATTGTCCTGCGCCGTGACTGTCCCCCGTCAAGAATGTCCGTAAAACCAGATAAGGGGAGGTAAATTGATGTGGCGGTTGACAGAACAGTCTGTAGACATCCAGGCTTCTTGCACTTGCCTTGCCGTATGATCATCACCTCAGCCCACAATTTCAACGGCGTCAAAGTTAAAGACGTGTCCCATTTGGGCGGCATGGGTTGCTACCTCCGACTTTGGGTCCAACCTTCGCACGGCCAACTCATGCTCGTGCATGAGCGTTTGCAGCCGTCGGCCGGTTTCCCCAACGTAGTTACACATTTCGCAGCTACACTGAAGTCGGTAGACAACAGCCGACATCTCCTGTTTAGGGATCGGGTCTTTTGGCCGCATCACTTGCCGGCGGATTGTTGAGTCGGGCCTGTGGGCAACGCCTATTCCGAGCGGCGCGAGAGATCTGGCTACGGCTCCGGAGACCCCTTTCAATTATGGAATGCTCCGCCACGATTTTGGCTGAATAAATTTTTCATTCCGCATCCTTGGCTGCTTTCGGCTCCGTTCAACGAATGTTCGCGGATAGCCGTTGGCTCTAAAGAGCTCATGGAGGAGCTTCATCTCGTCCAGTTTGGCGACTGGAGTGCTGAAATGAGTTTCAACCCATGGGTATAGCGTGCGTACACAGCTTCGTTTGTGTTGCCAACACAACAATGCCGATGCCCTCTCGAGGAAGTCGTATCGTCCTTGTGACGAATCCCCGTCTTGCACAGACATTAGCATCAGCAACATAACACTCCATGAAGACCAGAGCAAGCTTTGGGCTCAGGCTCAGCGCGAGGATCCTCATATAGGCCCTATCTACTACAGAAAGCTAGGCGAATCGCGACCTCTGAGTGAGCCCGAGTTTCGGGGTTTAAGTTACGAGACGCGCTCTATGCATATGGTATGGGATAAACTTTTCCTATATAATGAAGTATTGTTCAACCGCGATGGTAGTCAGTATCCCCGGCGTATCGTTCTACCGCTATCCATGATAGATTATGTCCTCACTCGAATACACACTCAGCTAGGGCACACCAGAATCCATAAGACCGAGTGGACTGTGAAGAGGTGATACTATTGGCCCAAAAAAAGACGCTACGTATGGGATTTTCAGTTTATTTTCAGTTTATTTGGTAAGGATAATAGGCAAAGCCTTTGAAAACCCTATTAATTACACGTCAGCTCGTTACAAATAACTGTACACGAACAAAAATATTCACTATAAATACAGTACTTGGTTCATTTGTGTAGCATTGTCTCAGAGGAAATATTTGTGGGGACCAGGGGTATTAGTTCAG